ATTGACAAACTCAGAATTATAAGGATTTTTGTGTCATATGATGACTATTATGATACCATATTGTTTTACCAAAGTCATATGATGACTGTTTTCTTTTCTTCTTCTTTTTTTTTTTAAGTGTATGCAGTACTCATACCATTAAATTACCTGTATCGACCAATACACCAACAATAGTGACTTATACTTTATCATATATGTTGTTACGTTATCATTAATCATATGCTACATATTTGATGGAAGGATTATGTATGAAATGATAATTACTCTTACCTTAAACAACTCCCACACTTGCAGCCTTTTCTGTTCTAGGAACAAGTCATAGGTGAAGTAATCACCATCATAAACCCTCTTCCATAGGGTCGTAATCAATCTGGGGATGTCAACATCCAAGAAGGTGCCTTTATGCGAAATTTGTATAAATAGTCTTTCATCTGGTCTTCTTGCAGCCCTTTTTGGTTTGTTCGGACCTCTTCCCTTCTGCTTCCCATTATGGGATGAGGCTGCTGCATGAATAGAATCTTGTGGACTAATAGACCGAGTATGCCCTACGTCCAATACTGGGGTAACATCACATGCAAGATCTACAGAGTTGTGACATCCTCGTCTCCCTGATGTGCTGCGACTACGCGCGAAGTTGATGGGCCCACCCAACATCCTACAAAACATATGGTCACATGAAATATGTCAGTACTAATTTCACCAAATAAATATATGTGCAGTTTATAAATTTTTTTTTATAAACATTTACAACATCATAAATAATGGCAATGAAACAAAATTTGAAGAAATAGTCACTAGTCATTCATAAGTATATTTGTTAATTACGAAGTCTTATGCACAAAATTTATATTTTTAAATGACAACCAAAATTTAAAACTATTATTGTACATGAACTTCAATTATTTAACGATTATTCAGTCTCATTACTATCGTCACCAACATCGCCTCTTGTTTCATATCCTTCATTTCCTTCACTCGAATTTTCATCAACATCATCATTTGCATCTCTATTTAAGTCAACCATTGTTGCTCCTTCTGCATGCAAATTCACGCGTTCTATAGATGCCAAATTGGAACTATGCTCATTCGATTGTGTGGATGGTGACTTCTCATCTTGGAATATTTCTTCCATATCAAGTGAGGTTGAAGAAGCGTCGACCAAATGTCTAGCACGTATTTTTCATGCAGCGAACCATCCATGAGTTGCTCGATTATTTGATGGGTAACTACTGTAATACACTTACGTTGCTTGACATGCAAAGCAAAATGGCTCGCCGATTGACAAATGATATCGTGGGTTGACCTCAACAATGTTGTAAACTTGGTTAATGCGTGTTCCCCTACGTGTATCGAACCAATCACAATTGAATAAGACAATTGTCTGCATTTGCGCATGTGGTCCATAATACAATAGTTCAATGACTTCGTTAAGGATGCCATAATAATCAGTCTCAGCATCATTAGATATGGTTGTTCCTTTCACACATACACCACAGTTATATGTTTGTCTTTCATTACTGGTTTTTTGGGTCATAAATCTAAAACCATTGACATAATAACCTCTGTACACATTCACTGTCCATGATGGGCCTAGTGCAAGGTATTGCAAAACCTCATTCCCTTCATGATAGTCATTTAATACCTACCAAATTTATATGTTCGTGTTATTAGTCAAATTTATAATATTTTCGTTAAAAACTCAATTAGTTAATATATTGTATATGACTATATATGTATAGGTATATAATAAAATTTGAAACAACATGACACGATGAAAAATATTGTTTACCCTATCTTTGAACCACATAACAAAACTTCTAGTGCGTGCTTCGTGTGGAATAAAAGGGGTCATATATACACCAACTTCTCGATCAAAGATGCTGAAATATGGAAACAATTATGTGTGACCAAAAAATGGAATGTTGAACTTTCCTGCTATGATTCAACAAGCTTACTCTAAAAATTTAATAAAAAGGAGTTTAGTTGGTCATATCTCACCTAAGAAGTGCATCAACTTCCCTACAGTTTGGTAGGACATAAAGTTCAGCTGCCTTCATCTCTTGAGTGGTTAGACAGCGTGTCTGTGAATGTGAACCCATTGGATGACCAGGGCACGCAAATATCGAGAATTCTATGTTCCTATAAAATGGAACTGCTGCAAAGTTCCTTGGGGGCTTACTCCAACTTGTTTCAAGATCCGCACCAAAATATCGTGAGCAAAATCCTGTTATTTCATTGAGAATGCATGCTTCGACAATAAACACCTCAACATGATTCTTGTTCCCTATTGTTTGTTTAAGTTTGTGCATTTGTCTGTAAAATTTGAAATTAGATATGAGCATAACAAATTATTATAGATTCTGTTATACTTGAAACTAGTGCATGAAACTAGTGCAAACTTGTTTCCATTACCGTTCAAATGGGTACATCCATCGAAATTGTACTGGCTCACCAATTCGCGCCTCGAAAGGAAGATGGATTGCTAGGTGCTTCATACAATCAAAAAATGACGACGAAAAGATTCTTTCTAACTTACATATTATTTTAACCATCTTCGTTTCCCAAATTGGCATGTCTTTTATGTTGACATTTGGGGAACATAGTGTACGGAAGAAATTACTTACTTCTGTTAATGGACCTCATATAAAATCCGATAACAAGCCACGGAAAGCAATTGGAATGAGGCGCTGCATGAATATGTGGCAATCGTGACTCTTCAATCCAACTAAGCGTAGCTAAGCTAAGTTCACACAACGTGCGATGTTAGATGCAAACCCATTTGGAAAGCGCACATTTTTGAGCCATGTACATAGACATCTTTTTTTATCTGTGTCAAGTGCATAACTTGCATTTGGCTTGCAAAGCGACCCAGAACTGTCATAGTACAAATATAGTTCTTCCCTATCACAGTACGATGGTAAACCTAAGTTTTTCATGAATTTTTTTGCTTCATAAAAATTTGACGGTACTTTTTGTTGATCTTCTGGACTTAACAATTGCCTACAGCCCTGAATGATATCATTGTAACCAACACCAGTTATGTTGTTTTTGGCTTTGCAATGCAGCATATATGATAACCATCCAAGCAATGTTTGATTATTAGATGATGGTTCAAGTGGGATGGTTGAAGTACGCAACAAGTCATAAAAAGATTGTGCATGTCTATTTGGCGCATCCCCAACATTTTCATATGCGAACTCTGTTTCATTTCTAGGGCGATCGTTTTCAGATTGACAGAATGCATCATAAACCATGTGATGGATATCATCCTCAACATTAACATGTTCCTCAATATTACTTGAGAATGCCACATCACTTGTAGCTAACCATGGATCAACATTGTTACTTAAAGTTTCACCATGTGCCCACCACACAGAATATGCATCCATGAAACCAATCTCAACAGATGGTCTGTTACAGTTGCCTTGTTGTGATGAGGTAAATTTCCACATTTACTACAAGGGCAACAAATTTCGGCATTCAAGTGAACACCAGGACGACTATAGACGAAATCAAAAAATTGTTGTAATCTATTAAAGAATTCGGCATCGCAATCTCCACGAGGACCTCGTCGTCTATACATCCAACGACGATCATCTGTTATCTTTAACTGAATAATACAATTAAGATTTTAAGTAAATTAAATCATTATTAAGGTAATAATAGTAATTATATAAGTATGTATAATAGACAAAGAAATGGGAAAACATAGCAACTAGTGCATAAAGGTTGCAAACACTGTTTTCAAACCGGATTGACTCGATCGGTTCAATCAATTGAACCAAAATCAATTCTATAAACGGGTCAGTTTATGATATTTATCCGTTAGAGGTCAAACCTGGTCAAAACCCGATCAAACCAGTGAAACCCATTCAACTCGGTCAACTCAATCAACCGGATCAAAACATTTTTTACATTTTCAATTTATTCTTTGTTTTTCTTAAATTTTTATTTTCTATGTTGGTAATTAATAGATAATATAATAATTAAATTGTAAAATCTATATAAAATCAAATCACAATTAAGGAATGAAA